TTTTTGCCCTGTTTTAAAACGAAGATTTATTTGCAGCTAGCATTAGAAATTTGGAAGGAAGTTATAATAGAACCTATAAAAGAAAAGTTGGTTGCAGAGCTCTTGGTTGAAATAAAAAGGTTTGTAAAGATTAGTGAGTACTACAATAACCTTATTATAACGATGCACTTTACTAACGTGACTTGAATAAACGATTGAAAAAAATCAAAATCTTTTAAACGAACGATAAATTAACGATAACACAAATCAGTCTTATTTATATTAACAGGAAATTTTCAAATTCGCATTAACACATGCAGCTCGTCGTTAATTTCTCATAAAGTGGGTCGACCCTATTATATCCAGATGGAATAAATTAAGAAAACAAAAACTCAATTATCTCAATTCTATGTAGGGATCGCGATGGTGAAAACACCCAGCACAACGTAATTCATGGAGCCATTGAATCATTTGGTAAGTTTATATGATATTAACTTTAGTGGGCGTTATGGCGTATTTTTGTGTGCTAGAGTAAACAAATTATTGACCACAAATCAGCGTGTGTTCACCGGTCTAATTATTATATTGGCAATCATTCAGTTCTATTGGCATTTTTGTCATGAGGGTCTAAGCTCAAGCACCACCGCGCAACCGGTTATTTCCGACCGGAGCTCCGATTTTTTTGGAGTTCCGGTTCCGGCCGGAACTAATAAAAAACATGGCCGGGAGGACCAGAACTTTGTCGTTCTCAGAGAGATAGAATATCAAGTTTATTTATTGAATAGCATAGGAAGAAATTTGGACTACACAAGAAAATGTACACTATTAACACTTCATTATGACGTTTAACGTTAGTCAATCTTTTTATTCTAACATTTGCGAGCTCTCTCCTTGATGACACAAAGTGTCTGGCAGCAGACACAGTAACATATGACCACATATCGCTTAATGAATCGGTTCCGGCCGGAACTTTTTTCCAGTTCCGGCCAGATCTGGTTCCGGCCGGAACTTTAAAAATTGGTTCCGGTGCATCCCTATCACCAGAGCGCAATATAATTTTGAAAACCTGGTCTGACAATACGTCACACCAACCCAGATCAGACACGCTCGGACACTAATTATGTACAGAACTCGAGAGACAAATGTTTTACAGTAATTGTCGTATTAAATTCAACTCAGCCAGGACCAGTAAATTTGGACTAGCCATCCTCGCTGCTTGTTGTTTATTACTTTCATCTTTGTCTATTTACAGTTATTGTTCAGGAATACTACAGTCGAGGAAAGCTGCAAGTAAGATCTAGTAGTTTTCATACATGAACTGAGCGTAGCAGGAAATATGCTCGGTTTAGTAGGCCCTTTCAATGTCAAGGACGCCATCTTGAATCTATTGTTTTCACCATTGTATTTGCACCCCCTGCAAATTTACCTATAGGGAATTCCATTGTGTTTGCACCCTTTGCACTATTGTGTTTCATTATGGTGTCATTAACCTTGAAATGGTCTATATGGGCGAAATATGTTTACATTGAAATATGTTTACTCTGTTTAATATGTGTAAATATGTTTACATTTCTCAGTCTTGACAGAGGGAGAAATTTCCGAATAGGAGGGGAGGGAGGGGTGGGGCTCTGGAGGGACAAGCACATTTTCTGGGGCACCGACATTCTCGTACCCAGAGCCCTTCTTACGCGCGGTCAACGGAGCGCGACGAGGGGCTCTGGCAAAATCCAAACCGGATACCATAAAAACATACTATCTGGTTAAATTAACACTGCGCATGTTCAACTCTTATATTATTCATAGGTACTATTTTCACAGTATTATTCGAGCATGGAATTGAGCATGCGCAGCGTTTAACCGGATACTATGTTTTTATGGTATCCGGTTTGGATTTTGCCAGAGCCCCTCGTCGCGCTCCGTTGACCGCGCGTAAGAAGGGCTCTGGGTACGAGAATGGGGCACCGACAAATAACATTAATTTGAATCATAACGGCATTAGTGCCTTTCTTCGTAGTGATCATAGCAACATTGTATCAAGCATATCCTTGAAATCAATGAACAGCGCTGTTTGCTCTATTTATCACTTTTCATCGTTTTTGGGTCGTGTAGTTGTCCAGTTTAATTTTTTTAGAAAAATCGTGCAAATTTAGTGCAGATATGTCGAAAGTGTTTAGTTCCTTGTTTCCTAACAGGGTACACTTTTTCTTGTAGCTTTACGAATCTGAATTTGAACAAAAACTTCTGGAAGAAACAAGAGAGTTTTACCGGACAGTGTCTTCACGGCTTGTGTCTGAACTCACGTGTTCAGCCTATTTAGTTAAGGTGAGAACCAAAGTGGTTGGCTTATAGGTTTGATCTTAGATATGTTTATAAAGGTGATTTGTCAATGAGGATTTAATTAAATTTGACTGATATGGAAGCCTTTTAATGTCTTGGTATTCAGGACATCAATGAACCTCGATGTATGGTTAATAAAATTGTATTAAATCGGTTTAAGGAGGGAAGCGGAAGCCTGGCTTGCGAGGTTGCCACACATACAACACGTGCAGAGCAGTACGTGCGTGTTTGGCTCTCCAAATATACACACGCAACAATCTCACATCTTGTAGCAAGTCTGCCAACAAGGTGTCAACAAGTTGTCTTTGCACTGCTTGTCCCAAGTTGTCAACAAGTTTGGAACAAACTGTTAACAACTTGTAACAACCTTGTTGATATTATCAGACTTGTTACAAGGTTGTTCCAACAAGTCCGATACAGTCATGATATATATCAAATGAATATTATTACAATCTTCTGTGATCAACCTTGTAACATTCTTGTTATATCATGACTGTATCAGACTTGTTAGAACAACTTTGCTACAAGTCTGATAATGCCATCTAGCTATAGCTTGTTACAAGTTGTTAACAGCTTGTTCCAAACTTGTTACAACAACTTTTGATTGATTGATTGATTGATTTAATTTTGCCACAAATGATTAATACAACAATTTACAAAAGTAATATTATAGAAGAGACAAGAATTGAAGAATTGTTACGAACTGGGAACAAGGAGTGCGAAGAACTGGGAACAAGCAGTGCGAAGACAACTTGTTGACAGCTTGTGAACAGATATGTAACAACTTGTTTGCAGACCTGTAACAACTTATGCGTTTTTACGTGTGTAGAAGTGATTATAGGCTGCAGAGGACATGGTGGAAATGACGGAGTCTGTCAAAACATTTTTTATTTTGTCCAAAGATTCTATTTTAATGAGACTCCGTGTTTTCCACTTTGTGCCCCCATACACTTGCAGTGTTTTCTCAATTTGAAATTTTGCACTATTCTTGGATCCCTTTAGCCAATATTGAACTTCACACGCCTATTTTCGCCAAATTTCCACCTCCCCATTGAATTTGCTAATTAAGATTTTTGGTTTCTGTAAAAACTTTAAAAATAAAGATCTTTGTTTTCGCCAGCGAATACAAAGATCTGGTGTTGTTTTGGTGATGAATATCATAAGATATACAATATATAATCATTATGTAGTAATGTAAGCAGTAATCGATTCGAAAAATAGTTTTCATTCTTTTTTCTTCCGAAATTAATTACAACCAAGGTTATCACTGATGCCTTATAGAATACTCAAGACTAATATTTTACAAAGTGCAAATGTATTCTCTTTGAGAAATTTAATTTTAAAAATGCTAAAGTTTCTGCTAGATTTAACAAACAAACCTAACTACGGTAGGCTTGTTTTGGTTCTTTTTGCACATGTCATGAGCTTTATTTTCGCTTGCATGGATTGATTTCAATCTTAAACTTTTACACTTTGCCTTAATTAAATAACAGTCTCTGTGCAAAAGATGTTTATTAGCCCGATCATGTATAAAATATAAAATAATGCCAGATTGTGGTATATTTTCAAATGCTATAGTTTCGAATTGGTCAATAGTTTGCATTCTTAGATAATCTCTCATTTATAATATTTATTTCAGGCAGATCATTTAATTCGACAAGAAAAAGTCAGAGCATCCCAGCTCTTTCATAATTCTTCAACAAACAAAGTCAATAAAGAATGCGATGGACAGTTGGTTGAAAATCACGTGACCTTACTGCAATCTGAATGCAGACAAATGATAAAGGATGAAAATCTTGAAGGTGAGAGATGACCTCACTCAGTTCAATTTTGAAGAATTACTCTCCGTTACTGTTACGATGGCTAGCCGTACAAAACATGAAAGTCCTCGAATCTAAATACAAAAATTCAAAGCCTTGAATGTCCTTAAATTTTTCTTGCTTTAGTTTTCGGTTATTTTCTGAAATTGTTTGACATCCAAAACGGACATTTTGTTGAACTGATTCCGTCCGTTCATACCTGACAAAGCTGTTTGGAACTCATTAAAGTTGTGTTTTAAACTGATTTCTAATTTTCATCAGTATTTAGTCCTTGAATTTGCTGATCCTTGAAAAGTCCTTGAATTTGACTCTTCTTCTCATGTACGAACCTTGGCTGACTGGAACATGAGCTAATATCCAGCTGGTAGAGAGCCAATCAGATTAGAAAACAGCTCTTATCCAGTAGTTTTATAATTCTATAAAATCTTCTATTCAGATCTTGGCAGAATGTACTCGTTAATGAAATCCAGTGTAACGGGATTACGATCGATGGTTCAACTGTTAGAGGATAATATTAAAGAAAAAGGTATTTACTGTTTTCAATGGACTACATTCAATTCGTTACATTTCGTTTACTAACTTTACATGAAACTATGGCAATTGATACACTCGGCGGAAATCATAGTTTAAAGATAAAGAGCAGAGCCCAGCAAATAACTTTTTACCGATTTTATGTTTGTCATAAAAAGCGCGCAACAAACCACCTTGCCTACTGTTTTCACGTGCTGGGACAAGCATAATCCTAGCACCTTTTCCACCTTGATAAATGAAGAAAATGTTCATGGTTAAGAACGACTCTGAAAGGCTGACATCTCTCTAATACAAACACTTCAATAAAACAGAAAACTCTCTTATGCAGACACTTCTCTCTAATACAGACATCTCTCTAATACAAACACCTCCCTAATACAGAAAACTCTCTTATGCAGACACCTCTCTCTAATACAGACATCAAAACTTTCATTCTTCAGAATTTGACGAGGTTAACAAAAATACCCTGTGAAAATATTAAAACTTTTTTAAAACAATTAAATTCCTAAAATATACCTTGCCCCTGGTGATGTGAAATTCACGTCTGAATTGAATAAACGTTCGAAAGAATACGATGGATGGGCATTATATTTGTTCTTGTGCTTTATGAAATTTTATCCTCAGTAAATATGAATTCTGGACGGCTTTGGTACGAACATGTCTAACAAATAATTCATTATTGATTTGGAAAAATATAATTGAATTCTACTGCATAGCTTCACAAGAACATTGGAAATAGTAAAAAAATATTGCTTTATTAACTACAAAAGGTCCTCGGAAGACGCGGAACAAAATTTCCAAAACCATGAGTCATAAAATGTCTGGAGTTTCGAGAATCCAAATGTTCCGTACACTTTCTAGAGTGATTTGTCCCTCAATATTTTTAATGACATCTATCCTAAAGAAATCATTAATCATGCTATACTTATCTTTAATACAGTAATGTAAAAAGTTCTATAAAAAAGTACCTTAATTTATAAGATCAAAATGTTCACTGCAATAGCAGTGCTATAGGACTGAATTACTGATACAATATTTTCATAGTTATATATATCATAGTTCATTGTTAGAAAATCTCAGTAGGAATTCTAAACAGTGTTTCAATTGTTTTTCTGTTATTTCAATAAAAGAACACCGGACGAGTATACCTGGTAGGCCTCACCAGGCCGTCCAGTATTTCACAAGCTTATACTATATAACCTCAGGGCTCAGGTATTTAAAATTTATTTTATTGAAAAAAAATCATAAAAAATCATAAAAGTGTACGCTAAAGTAAAAAAAATAAGAAGAAATGCTAAAGTGGAGTAAGATATAGACAGCTGCCTCGTGTTTCAATGGTTTTCAAACCTCAAGTTATATTTTACTGCATAGTTTCAACAGAACATTGAAAATATCAAGAATATATTCTTGTATTAACGATACAAAAGACCTCCAAAGTCCTATAGCATTCTCAAAAAGTTCAATGAAAAAATGTCCGAACTTTCGAAAGTCTATGGCTTCCGTATATACACTTTCTATTGGAGTGTTTGCCCGTTTGTATTTTTAATAACATCTATGCTTAACAAATCAATAATCATGCTACCAGTTTTTGGTACAGTAACGTGAAAAGTTCTATATAAAAACATACCTTAATATATATATAGCCCAAATATTCACTGCAACAATAGCGACTAAATAACCGACTCAATATTTTCATATTAGTTCATTGTTAAAAAAACTCAGTAGGAATTATAAACAGTGTTTCAATTGTTTTTCTGTTTTTCAATAAAAGAACACCAGATGAGGTACCTGCATAGGCCCATCAGGTCGTCCAGCATTACAGACCCTTAACTATAAACCCCCAGGCCCAGGAATTAAAAAATTATTTCATTGATAAAAAATAATAATAAAAACATAATAAAAGTATGCTAAAGTGTAAAAAGTAAAGTAGAAAAGTAATAAAAAATATAGACAGTGCCGCTGTTCACAGAAAACCGCTCCGGCGACCGGCGTACAGTGTGAACACGACGGCCAAATATTTAAAAGGTACCCTCGAAATCTAAAATTCATGTTTGAATTGAATGAAAATCTGAAATTTTACTGCATATATATAATTTGATCAAAACATTGAAAATAACAATAAAATATTCCTTTTATATTAATTACAAAAAGTCTCCAAATGTCCGACAAAATTCTCAATATACACTGACTTTCTAGAAGTGATTTGCCCCTCGAAATTTTAAGTAGGCTAACATCTATGCTTAGAAATCAATAATCATCCCATACCTATCTTTTTTATAATACAGTAAAGTGAAAAGTTCTATAAAAAAACATATACCTTAATTTATATGACCAAAATATTCACTGCAATAACAGCGTTGGGATTGCATGAATTACTGATACGATATATATTTTTATATTACCTGATTGTTAAATATTTTTCAGTAGGAATTATAAACCAGTGTTTCAATTGTTTTACTTTCATGTCAATAAAAGAACACCAGATGAGTACCAGCAGATTTGCCCACCAGGCCGTCCAGTATTTCAGATTTTAACTAAAACCCCCAGGCATTTAAAATTATTTCATTGCAATCTTTTTTTGAAAGCTTCTCAGCTTCAAGACCCTGCATAAATCCCATATTGTTGTTGTCCTGCATATATGAACAGCTGGAGACGAACCATTACTCAGAAGTCGAGTAATAAGCTTGAGTTTCTTTCAAAATACCTATATTTTCCACGCAATGAATTCATACAGGCGCAATCATGGTTCTAAAGGGAGTAAAAAGCTATATATGACAGCAACATTTTCAGCCAATTATCATAAATGAGGCATACTAGTACTTGAAGTTGTTGCTAGCCCAAATTACTGGAAATTATAATTAGCAGCAATTTAGTCTCCAATGTGCGCTTGGACGCAGTGATCAAAACAGCATCGAAGAGATTAATATATTTTCTTGTACAGCTCAATTGAGCAGGTGTGCCTCGATCGGATTTAGAACTATCCTATACAACGTGTATTGGATCAAGTCAACTATCGATTATCGGGTATCCCAGTTTTCTATCACTCCTTATCTCAAAGACAAACTTGTGCCCGGAAAAATACAATGGCAATAGACAACTTGCATGTAAATTCCTGTAAAGAACTTATCAAAAATTGCAAAATTTGGTTACGAAATGTTGTAAAATACGGAAAATATAGCCTTGCGAAGTTTGCATATTTTGTATATGTTTGTATTTAAAATTTAAATGTTTTTTCATCAAAATCTAAGTTAGTCCTTTCTGAATGCAATGATCTTTATTTCATTGCGATAGCTTTTATAGCTTTTACGTTACATGAAATCAAACAGAGTTCGGTGTTTTTTGGGATACTGGTATAAAAGTAGTCCAATTTTTATGCACAAGACGTTGCTCTAACTTCGAACAGATAACAGTACTAACAGTTGACTTCAAATTACGATTTGATGTTTGCCGTTTGCGATTAGCTGTAAACGTCAATCTTAAAGTCCCTATACAATATATATAATACGTCGGCTGGAATAAAACGTATTGAACTGTGATTGAACGAAACGCGATCCAAATGATAATTTAATTTATTTGGGAGCAGATTAACCGTAACTCGTTTACATCTTTCAAACGTTGGGGCTTAACTCGAAGAACAAAATGTTTTGACTTTGGTCGAGTTAAGCCCCTATTTTCTAGAAGGCTTAACTCGAAGTACCTATAAGTCCAGTTATGTACTTCGAGTTAAGCCCTCAACCGAAATGGGTGTGGCATGGGCGTGGTCTGGGCTTAACTCGAAAGAGCGTGGTCGGGGCTTAACTCGAAGTTTGCTACCCCCTCATCAGTAACTATAGTAAATTAGTGAAGATTAATGTTAAGTGCATGGTTAGTATAGTTAAGGTTAATATTACATAACTAAAATAACTCAAGAGCGGTAGATCTATTATTAGCATTAAGGACAGGATTAAGTTGAGAAATTATTATAGGCTTTCTTGGATAAGAAGATCCTACTCAGAAGGGCCTGATGATAGGATTTTGAAATCAGGAATTTGAGACTGGGTGTTTGGAATTTGAGACTGGGTGTTTGTGCATGTGTTTGTGAGCGAGTATACTAGACATGGAATCTAAAAAATTTGGGTTCAACCAAATTTGTATACATTGGATGTGAACACCGCCGTCAAACATCAAATAATGTAGGAAGAGAGAAGAAGAAAAAAGGGAGAAGAAAAGCATTTGCTATAGCCTATAAGGAAATGGCTAAACGTTTAAGCTCAGCAATTTCATCTCGTTTTCCTTGTGACAACAAAAAGTTATAGGTTATACTGTGTTTTAAACTCTCGTAATTTTCTTTACACTTTTTGCTGGAGCTTCGTCAAGACATTACTATTTCCAGACATCCATATACAATCAGTCGATCCACGGACGTTTGGGCACGTTGTTATGGACGTGTAAATCAGAATCGGCATGCAGCAATCAATTCGCAAGTGTACCTGTGCTAAAGTTCGATCCACGTCTATCCGGTCCAATTACATTTACGCCAGTGTATGCTTTCTAAATTCGAAACTGCTGGTTCCATCGTTTTGACTTATCGTGTGTTCCACATGGGTAGTATGTCGTCTAGAACTTGGGATCTGTGCTCTTCTAATTATTTTTTTTCT